TATATATATATATATATATATATATATATATCAAACAGTGATTTATCATCCAAATTTTCCTCTCGTTTCTAAACCTAATGATGACTACGCCAGCAAATGTCCTTCCTATTCATGTTCCCCTTAATTCGTCATATGTCATTACCTTCAATTGGATCTGCAATGCATAATCTGTTTTCTATTTAAATGCGATCGAATTTGCTGATCATTACCATCATCTCATATAGTTATGGAATGTTATACTGCTATATTTGTGATGAATGAATGCCAACGGCTATTTCACGACCAAATCGAATAATAATGATCGTTTTGAGACGTACGTACATCGTTTATCGCTTGCCACCCCATGCACAATTGAATCGAATCAATCGACAAACCTTGCCACAACCAGCACAGCAATGATCAGCACAGTTATTTGTAATTGTATACAGCAAAAATAATGCATTGATAAGCTAACAAACGACTTCAATCGTTTCCATAAAGTTTTGCACTCAAATCTCACAATACCACATATAAGTGGAGATTGTAATATGCAAAGTTCTATTGGAGCGTTATGCGTCTTCCTTGTTTTTCACATGTGTGGATGTTGGGGCATTAAATGAAACTGTTTATGCGACGTTTTGGACCATAGAACCATCATCTAGCAACCTGAATTTACGCATGTATAAACGCATGACAACACCGTAATGTGACGATTGTAAGAGTAATAATGCTAAATGACAAATGATAATAGCAACAGTACTAGCAACAATAACTGTACGAATAGCGATAATAAGAATAACAATGTCAGGAGTTGTAATGGAAAATTATAGGATTGAAATGAAGATAAAACGAAGATATATAATAATCAGTGATAATATTACTATCCAAATCACTATTATGACTATCATCATTTCATATAGTTATGGAACGTAATACTGCTGTAATTGCTATACTGCTACTGTTATCTTCATTATCAATACTATAATCTTCCTAACGGTCATAAAACTCCTGCTATTATTACTTCTTATTATCACTATTCCTACAGTTATTGTTGCCATTATCATTTGTTATTTTAACATTATTACTCTTACAATCATCACATTACGATGGTGTCATACATTTACATTTGTGTAAATTTAGGTTGCTAGATGATGGTTCTATGGTCCGAAACGTCGCATAAACTATTTCATTTAGTGCCCCAACATCCACACATGTGAAAAACAAGGAAGACGCGTAACGCTCCAATAGAATTTTACACATACAATCTCCACTGCAGCGATTAACCATTCTATATCATATTTCATTCGTACCGAACACAATCTGTTTTTATTTCAATGAGTACGTATTAATACAACCGAAAGAAAACGTTCGAAATTAAATACATATGTATATTTACATAATATCATACAATTATCAGTTGACAATAGTTTTCATCGCACTCAGTTCAACAATGAAAGCAGCATTATAATCCTATAAATCAGTTACCATCAATAAGATTAATGATAATAATAATAGATTTAAAAAATTTCCATTCCGACTGAAACTTGACATTGGCACAAAAAATACTTCATTACTCTCATATACTGCTGAGTGGGATGAAGATTTGAAAGGCGAAAAAATTCAACCATTCAAACCATTATAAAAAATTCCACTTTCATAAAAGAAAAATAAAAAAGACAAATAAGCATCAACAATATCGTCAGTAAGTACCGTCATGACAAGAAAAATTGAAACTGAAAAAAAGACAATCAAAGGCAGTTGATGAAAGCGAAAAATTGTCAGCACACATTTTTATGAGTTAGTCAATTGTGAGTGAGTGAGAGGATGGGATGAAACTGAAATGGCATGACAGTGAAGCATGTTTCGGTGCTGCACCGAGAAGATATTTTGACGCCGCATGCACATTACAGCACGTTTTGGCGCAATGAATCAACTTTCTGAGTCTTGATATGCATTCGAAGTCAGGATAACTGGAATTGATAGTTGATTGGAATTGGAGTCATCCGACGTTGCAAGTAATGTTGGCTGAATGTCGGCAAAGGTGTCAAAATGTTCCATTTCCAAAATAGAGATCCATTTGGTTTGCACAGGAAGGACGAATACATATGACGGAAAGCGTGAAATAGTGAATGCACTAGTCCGAGAATAGTAGTGATATAATTGTTGCTTCAAACGGCCGTATTGTGTTTTGGAAACGTCTTATTAGAACGGTGTTGGTGTCGATCATGCACAAAAATAAGCACTGTAGTTGTGACACTGAACGTGAATGCAAGCAAATAGCATAATGATGATGAGACTGCTAACCAAAATGAGTAACCACGACTTTGCTGAAAGTTGTTTGACTGACCGATTGATCGACACGAACAAACAGAATGACCATAATTTTCACAGAAATTCGCTTCTTTTGGTTTACGGACACAAACCATAGCACAAATGTGATATCACATAACAATCTAATCAATCCTTCAGTAAGAGGCGAAAGAAATGCATAAGCTGTTTTTTTTTTGAAATTTCATCCTTATTCTTCAACAGCATGTTTCTTGTTCGGTCGTATCTGTTCTTTTGGTTCACGATAGCTGACTAAACAACTGCTTTAAGAGTTGGTAATAGTAGGAGAGGTATGATCGAAACGTGCAGCAAAGATCAAACAAACGAAGGAAAGAAACCTCGTAGGTTCGTGTAATACCGTGCACGAATCGGAAATCCACTTTATGCGAAAAGATAAAGAAGACCACGAGACCAACCGTTGATAATATGGCTGCAAAAACTTACTAAATGAGGATCAGGTGATAACAGCCGTCAGTTAAAAATCGAAATCATATAACAGTAGATGAATATCCATTATTACAACAAAATGTCACTGATGATCATTTTTGTCAGCTTATTACTATATGTTTCATTGAGTAATTATGTAATAACTAGAAAAGGATTTGGGGATATGACAGGACAAGAGAAATGTAGGGAATGAAGGAAACGGAATGAAAGCAAGTGGAGTTTGAAATGTAGCCGTTAAGTTAGAAGTGTTTGCTGTTGGAAGATACTGGCCATAATGCATGTAGGTAAGCAACGGATCAGTTCAGTAAGTGAGATAAATAAAGAATTGGCTTTATTTAATGACTTCTACTGATAGTAGGTAAGATACGTTCTTTTTCAATTTAGCAGCTAGTTTCTTGCATGCAAAAAAATGACCTTATTGCATCGCTCACCTGCGATGAGAAGTAAAACATTGGCGACCAGAGCTGAGATGCGCACACATGCAGCGCATACCAAGAAGCAGAATGCTGTAAATCCTGCTAGTACTGCAGCCAACAGAAGACTTAAAACTGCTTTATGCCAATCTGAAATCCAAACTATCATCATTGTCACCATCATTATTGCCACTGATGAATACCACCACTTTGGTTTTAAAAAATTCGAACTAAAAAACTGATGATTGTTTAAAATCAGCCAACTCTACTATCTATTCAGGAAGTTTTCCTCACTTAAATGTGCAAGCGAAAATGTTTATGATATTTGCTTGAATAAGTGAATGGATGAATAAATAAATGAACACATAAGTGAATCAATACAAAGCAAATTTTGGTGAATGATTACCATGAAACTTGTGCTGTTGTTCACCTTCTTCATGCATATCACGTTGAATATCGCTCTCTAATGCGCTCTCAAATTTATATGTACAGTGAAGAGTATGCCCTGAGATACCTGAAATCAAGTGATATTCGTTACAATGATGGCACATTAAAAGATGAAATGAAAGCAGCAATAAAGTTTGACGAATTTCTAATGACAACACCAGCAAAAAAAATCATTCTCATACCGCTGAATATCAAATCACATTATCTAACAACTGATTCGAGGGATCGGTTGCAAAGTCATTTGTAATCGCTATTCCATGTTTCGATGCATCAACTTTGAAGCGAAAATCGATCATTCACTATTCATTTGTTGGCTTTACTTTATCTGAGGATTGCACCGTTTATGAGTCATGGTATCGTTTCAATACTGCCGAACAATGTCACAAAGAATCAACAAACGGGCGAAACTGGTTGACGCACTCAAATTCATAATCTAGTCCTTACGTCCATATTCTCATCTGACAATATTTCCATGTAACTATTTTAATCCATTTTCAAGATCATTCTCGTAATGTTTTCCTCCCAATTTGCAAATTCGATATCTGTGCACTGATCCTGCACATTTCGATTCTATAGATATACAAAATGGCGTAAAACACCGATACATTGTAAGGGAGCGCATACTTCCAGCTCCGCAAAGATGACTCTTCCTTATTTTTCTTATTAATAAGAATCATCTCCACCATACGCATAATAAAAGAGCAAACTAGTAGAAAATTATCAAAGGCTTCTTCAGCCGTTAATTTAATGAACATTCTGATATATTTCAGAAGACTTCAATGCAGGTTGATTAGTCAAATGACTTGACTATAAATGCTACTGTTTTTGATCGGTCATTATTTTGTCGTTTGTTTGTTTTCGTATCAGTGCCTAAGAAGGAGTGTACCACCACCCAACATCTACTAAATTTACATGTATTGTTTTAATCAATGGATGATTCAAGATTCGTCAACAACAACAATTTTCACAAGCAGTCAGTGAATGGAAGCCGGGATCATGAACAGCCATTGAGTTGCATGAGAGAGAGAGGAAGACTGGGCCGATTCGCTTGTTGAATTGCATCTGGTGTATTACATGAAGTAAGATTATAACATGTAAGTGTTACAATCTTACTTCACGTAATACACCAGATGCAGTTTAAAATTTGTTTATAAAATGTATTAGTAATGTTTATAAATGATCAACTTATTATTAATCACAAATCATTCATCATCTATTCCTCATAGTCGTTGTATATAATTGTGTTCGGAGGGCTCTCCCTCCGCGGGGGAATCCTCTGACGATTTCTGATCAATCATCGTCTCTCCAGGTGCGGGGGAATTTCTAGTCCTCAAGAGTGCTCTTGCGAAAGGGAATTTCTTGAATGGAATTCCCTCGGGGACGAGGAATTTTAAGGCTCTCGCTGAGGACCCATACTCTTTGTCTGTCTCTTAGGATTTACAATTTGTTAAAGTATTTGGAGCATTTTTCAAACATGGTATGCAAAATGCTTTAAGCCGCGGGTTGTGGTGAAGACGCATCCGGATTTTTCGTCAGAGTAGGACACGAAATCATCGTAAGATGTCAAAAAATCTGTCAATCGCATCACGGTTTCGAGTAGTCTGTGCAATCGAATGAACTCATGTGCTGCACAATGCGATTCGAAAAGGCAGACCCTCACTCATTGTGTGGTTTACAAAATTGGAACTGACTTCATATTGTCATTGTTTAACACAACATTTGTCCTGCCCTTTCCTCATCATAGTGGCTATAGTTTTAATAAAGACTTATGACCACTGATACATAAATTTGATGGAATTGACTCAGCTCAGGAATTCTAAAATCCGGCTTAAACGCCACCTCCCGTTATGCATCCTCTAAAAATTCGGTTACGATTTCGGGTCCAAAATTTACTTTGTTTCCGCTCCGCAAAAAAATTTGTCATGCAGATCCTAGCTACGGCTATTGAATGTTGCTGCGCTATTTTTTTGATGGAGTCCAATTTTTTTTTGACCTAGAAGTTTGGTTATAATTGCTTATAACACTTATGACCATTACTGCTTATAACACTCATACGCAACATTTGTTATGACTGTTATTTTTCTTATCTGCGTTTAGGGGAGCCCACGTGGGAGATCCCGCGAGGAATTCTTTGAGAACAAAGACCGCGCGTGATGGTTGCCTCGCGACCTGTCGTGGTGATTTATGTCCGCGCGAGTGCACTCGCAGAGGGCGGATTAGTTCAAATCCCTGACACCATCGCATTACCGTAGACCGATCAGTTTAACTCTTCAAATCTAACGGCAACTACATGATGCTACTATGACTGTATCAACCCAAAGCATGCTGCTCACTTATTGTTCACATTGCATTGCAGTGATTTTTCATGTCTCTATAAACGCAGGGATACTCTTTTAGCTACTTCTTATTGTATGCAGAAAAAAGCAATACCACCTCATTATGAGTGTTGTTGTTGTTTGCTGTACTACTAACTGCAATGATATGTTGCAAACAATAAGAAAATGAACTGGTAAGAAGAAATAATAACGAACCGGCAACATGTTTCTTACCAATGATACAATCCATCCAAAGACCGTGTTGATGTTCCGTATGAAATTCGGATATGAAAACGACTTGCCACTGAGGTGTCAATAAGGCACCAATCGTTAAGCATAACGCACCAACAACCAATATAAACGTTACACCTAATACGATCAGTCTGCAACTGCTGACCATACCCATTTCGCTCTGCTCTTCAATTGATTCCCTCAAAACGCTTCTTAACATCGACCTGAAATGAAAATGATATTTTTAGGCAATGAGAAGGAGGGAGAAGGAAAGCTACAGTGAAGTATAGTGAAAACCACTCTGACGATTAGATTATCAAAGTGGATTTTTGAATTGGATAAGGGGGAAAGCATACAATTCATTGTTTATTTGAATAGCTTCGAGATATAATCAACTTATTGACAACAGTTACTGATGCTGATTGAATATTTTAGGTGAACAATTTCATAAACATGCTGGGTTGACGGATAGTAAGAACGCATTTTGTTATGGATCATCCCATCATTCACTTTTTAACGATTTATCAAATAAAAAGAATTGTCACTAGAAAAAAGCATTGACACGAATGAAATTTTGTTAATATGATAAAACGATTCGAAGCTGAACTTTATCAATTCAAGAAATGAACAAACTGATGGTTAAAAACGAATGAATGAGTAAATGAACAAATAAATTCCAAAAAAAACCACATTTCTTGGTTGAAATATGAATTTCCGAGAGGATGAATTCGGACTAAAGAAGAGTTTAAGGTGTTATCATGCTGATGCTACTATCAAAGAGCATTTAAGAAATACGATCTTCGTACGAATATAACGGATAGGAAGAAAGAAAACGAAAGGAAATAAAAGCGTTTGGTGGTTCGTCCATGTTCAGACGCAAGATGAAGCTTAAAGATGCTTATGAGATGGGATTACGCAATTGATCTTCTCGAGCTGCAGCAACATAAAGTTGATATTGCAGCTGTTTTGTCAGTTGATTATTATTGCTTCAGTTGTATGTAATGACTATGTTATAGATAATAGATGAATGGCATGAAATGCTCGTTGTCTCATTCATATAATACTTCGTGATCTCTAACTCGCCTTCGATTCAGATAGACATCACTATCGCTAGCAAGCAATCTCACTTGGTTTGAGTTCACTTAAATCTTTAGAGTGATCAAGACCACGAACGAAGATCAACCGACCCAACAGCATATCAATAGCTTCAGTAGTAGTAGCAACAGCATCATCATCAGTCCGACCAGATATTTCACACACACAGACAAACTCTGAAGCGCGTTCACATTCATTCATATGTCCATCCATCCGAACCTACTGCGCCCAACCGACAAAATACACGGCTGATAATCAGCCGCTTGCTTGCGGCTGATTTTCGTTACTTACCCATCTTCAGTGATAACAGTGGCAGCACCAGCCTCAGCCTCAGGCTATCCGAACTTTTCAATGAGTTTTTACGAAAATCTCGAGCATTAAACCACGAGTGTTATACAGTTGAGCGCAATTTCTATCATTTCGCGTTATGTCTCGATCCAGCAGTGACTGCCTCAAATGAGAGAGAGCGAAGGAAAGCAACGAATAAGAATGAGTGCTATTTCATCAAGTATTGTCATCCTGGTTCGATTTGAAAGCTGAAAAAAAAAACATTATCATCAGCCACCGAATTGAAGATAAATTCATCAAAGAGGATCAAATTTTCACCCGTTGACAAAAGATATGAACACATCTCTCCCAAGCCCTGTCGAAAAAAACAGCGAATCGTTTCAGTTTATTTCGAATTCTGATTTAAGATTGAGTTTTCCCGATTTCGAACTTCAAGAACGAAACCCCAAAGTGTGATTTCCATATTTCAAATTCCGAATTGGAGGAGACGAATAGGGTACTTGAATGGGACTTATTAACATCTACCAACGAAACGCATTACTTACAAAAAAATGCATCACGATGGTTGACGAACGATCGAATACCTCAAGCAAGAGAAGAAATGGATTAGTTGAAGTTATCAGTATTATCGAATACATCAGAGTAATCAGCAGTCCGTATTCTAAAATTCCGTTTTGTTGAAGTCATTTGAAGATGATCCTGAGCAATTGGTCGATTAATGGATAGATATACAAAGGTAACACAAATGCATCTGATAATCCACGAATCTTGCGATTGTTTCAAGGACAACGCGTACAGTTCGACTTGACCAAACTTTGTGTTTTCATCCACAATTCATAACCACTGCAGTTTAACAGTTCAACAGATCAGTTGATCACTGGGCAGGCTGATATTGCAATTTTCGTTTAGAAGTGCAAGACGAGGATAGTAATCGCCTAATGAGCAGTTGCGTACGCAAACAAACGCATTAAATAATCTCCTCACATGCGTGCCTCATTATGAAGTTTCACAGTTCAGCAGCACTCGTCAATCCACCGATTAATAGCAGCAGCGAAAAGAAATAACTTTTATGAAATAACGCAATAAAGCTTCTACCAATGAATGTGGATTGAAATTAGAAAACATTTATTCTTTAATGCAACTTACATTTGTAACACGATGATTAAATAAATAAATAAATAAATAAATGAAAAAATGCATCTAAAGAATAAGTACAATTAGGAATCGAATTGTTATTAGAAATTTTTTCAATTCGGAATACAAAAAAAACTCTATTTAATTAAAAAAAAGAAAAACAAACAAGTGAAAACAACACACAATGAAAACATATTAAATACTTTCCATAGCATTTGAGTGTACTCGATTAACACACTTTCAGATTGAAAACAAACCGAAAAGCGTCGAATTGAAAAGACACAATCAATGCATACGAATAGTAAAAATACTTCTACTTTTATGTTAACGGTGTTGTTGCTCTTAAAACAATATACATCTCTTTCAGACGAATTAATAGTTCATCTCTGTCAATAGGTGAGTAAGTATCTGCTTCTTCACACGAATAAACAATAAATCAGCGTGGCACTCATTACAAAAATAAACGAAAACACAACGAAATACTACAAATGCAGAAAAAAAAGTCCAACAATATAGAAACAAAATTACAACAACAATAATAATAACAATAATATAATTGTTGCAAAAACTGGCCGCTGACTGGAAGAGAAAAACTGAAACAAAGATAAATCGTTACAAAATGGAATAGAAATATTTAGGCGAATAAAGCTTGCTGAAATTGATCGCTTCGAAGAACAGAAACGTAAAAATAACAATTTTAGACAATAAATAAATTACAACAAAAGAAATGAACTTGAAATTGTCAAACGATGAAATTTCAGCAAAAAATTGAACAATAAAGTAACAGTTACGACACAAAGTTACTAGTGCTGTAGCAGTTAACAATCATTTATTTAATCAATTTAAAAATCACATAGCTAGTCATGTGCATGCTGCAAACAAGCACGTAATACGTCCATCAGTCGATAAAATAAGACTTAACGACGAACAAATAAAAATCATAAATTAATTCATTTTAGACGACCTCATTTACTAACAATATTATGATTATTATTACTGGCAAGATCAGTACGAGTTTTATAAGTATTTTTAGTCCCTAGCATTACTACATGACAAAGGAAATTATAATATTTGAACTGAACTGAGTTTGAGTCCCGCTTCGACAGCAAAACTGATGACAAATGGCTACCAAGATAACGAACAAAAGAGAACAAACCGTATTTCATTTGTGTTAATTAACCGATATGGGTTTTCGAGGGTTCCAAAACGCTTCTAATTCATTTATCTCATGTTCGTAATGGACCTTTGAATGAGTTTGATTTAAAAAGTGAAACAGCGAGAAGCATTACTCATCATATGAATCACTCAAGAAACAAGCCAAAACTGGAAGCTGTTATTAAATAATAATTTATAACGGTGGAATTTGAAATACGAATAACGAACAGTCATTCTTATTAACAATCAGTCAATCAGTAATGCATAATTCAACCTGAAGCATATTTGTCTGCCGTCCTCTTCGAATGAGCAGTTGCATCATTCTGTTGCTATTGACGGTTGACCCATCGATTCAGCTAAACGTCGAGCACGCTCCTCAGAAAACTCTTCGATCTCCTTCCATATCAGTTCCTTCCACTGCTCAATCGGAAAATCCCCTAAAAACAAAACGAACGGTTCCCCATAATTACACTTCGGTTTTTACCCATTTTATCTCTTTTAGACAGTGATAAGCCGGAAAGTTGAATGTTAGTGAACGGCGAGAAGAACAATAAAGTGCAAATGAAAAGTTTTGGGTGACTAACCATCAAAATCGATATCGAGTAGTGGCGAATCGGGCTCGTCAGACGGATCGTGGTATTGACTCAAATATGGATGTTCCATCGCCTGACTTGCTGTTGGTCTGTAATCAGGCAACTGTCAAATGTCCTCAATGTTACCATAGAAGAATAACGCAAAAAAGAGAAAGCAATGCTCGCGTGATATCTCTATTATTTTACGAACTGACCGAAGATCCGGATCGAGATTTAACGTCTTCTCGAGCAGGTCTATTGCAGCTGGAGAGGCATTTGGGAAGAGTTTCTTGAAGTCTTTACGTGGTGTTTTTGGCAAATTACGAATAAAGTTACGCGCTTCATCCGACTTAATTTTCAACAAGAATTCTTCCTTCGGAGTGCCGACGACATTCATTATACGCATCAACTGATCCAAATCTACAACAGAGCAATCGCAAAGAAACTGTTGTTATTGGTGTCATCAAAATACACGTATTCAGTTCACTCAACCATTGACAACGATCACAGCTATGATCATATGAAATGAAGCGAATCTACATATATGAGCATTCAAAAAACAACCAAAACTTACGATCCGCTCCAGGGAACAAAGTCTTCCCAGTGATCAGTTCAGCCATAATACATCCCACCGACCAAATATCAACTTAAAATAAAAAAGCGCCAAATATTAACTTCAAATTAAAAAAAACAATAAGAAACTTATTCATGAGTATATCGCCAAAAAAATCTCTACTGTTTGGTGGACCACACACAGCGAAACGAACAGTTAAGACACCGGATACGGAACGAATCGATGTCAACCGATAATGATTGTTAGGACAACTGCATGACTGTTTTGACATTTTGTGAGGAGACTTAAAATAATTTCATACTGGGGACAATCTTCACTCATCACCTACCTGTTTGAGTGTAATGCATCCAATTCAGCATGATTTCTGGTGCCCGATACCACCTAGTTGCTACATAACCGGTCATTTCGTTATCCGTTTGCCGTGCCAAACCAAAATCCAAGATCTACAAGAACGTAAGAACAGATATATGTCTTGATATATCGTGAATAAAACAAAAATAATGCTGTAACTCTTCTTCAGATTTGTATTAAACCTGTACATCAGTTGATAATTGATGCAAACACCGCTAACTCCTTTACCCCTCGTTACCCTTGCATCATAAAATTATTTAGCAGAAATCACTCCTGCAGTTTGAACAAATAAGATACATTCCTAGGATGATTAAGTATGAAGATTACTTCTCCGAATAATCCATTTATTAAGAGATTGAAAGGAAATGCGAACCTTTAATTCACAATCTTCATTGACGGCAATATTTGACGGTTTCAAGTCACGATGAATCAGGCCAGCGGAATGTATATACTGCAATTAAGTTGGATAAATGGGTAGATGTAATGAAAAGTGGATTCAAATAATCTGCAGATAGTTATTTCGCAGTAATATTTAATTAGCTGAACTGAAATATTCCTAAAAATAGATGAAAAAAATGTAAATAAATGTGAGTGGATACACAATTATTTTGGAGATAAGATAACTCAGGAATTATCTGAAATGTTTTATAATTTCTTTCTACCTGATGTCAGCATACTACCACAAATACTTTCAATAAATTAAAACAGACTGATCGCATCTTTGAAACTTGAAAAAACAACAAACAAAAAAGACGCTTGAGAAAGATGAAGCTCCAGAAAGGAACAGCACTTGAGATGGGAATTAGGATAAGAAAAAATCTAGCGCAACCTTCAATCCACGTAGAATTTGGTAGACAAGAAACTGTATGTGATCATCACTGAGTCGTTGAATTTTCAGAATATTAGACAGATCCGCACCCATCAGCATCGAGACAAAGTATCTGTAATTTGCAATCAATCACGATCGCTAAAAATTCTCCGGATAGGATGACTGAAGTAGTGTCGTCGCAAAGAGGAACGAGCTAGATTACAGGAGTAAAGAAGACAGAAATAATTACTAACACATCTTGCATTGACGCGGCATCCCGATCAGGTGTGAACACATCAAGCATATCGATCACATTCTCATGATTCATTGCACGTAGCAACTTCAGCTCACGATGAGTACGTTTCGCATGGATTGCACTTTGGAATGGCCGAGAAAATTTCTTGATGGCTACCTTCTGCTCGGTTTGCCGACATTCAGCTGCGCTGAAGAACAACAAATTCTGACCAAACAGAACAATCCAAATATAAATCCGATACTTACACAACGAATTAGTTGATGAGTTTGACGGGGTCATACTGAAAAACCTTGTGATACACATCGAATGAAAAGGTTAAGAAGAATGGCAGCACTTACCAAACCATACCATATGCACCCGTACCAACCGGTGTCAGATTTTGATAATAGTTTGGTACCGTCCAAACGGTTTTATTCAGTTCAACTGCATAAAAATTTGGCTTCAATTGCTCACTTTCATCATCCATTCTAATCAACGCTGAAATATTCTCGAATTTGGTCTCTGTCACTGAAGTCAAAAAAAAGGCTTGCACCAGTAAGTCTTTTTTTTGACTTCAGTGATAGAGACCAATTTTTCCAGCACGGCAAATACCTTCAAAGGCTTACGTTAATCTAGAACTTATGATTGACACAACATTAGAATTCAGGTTAATCAGATCTGGCTTGAAATGTCTCTCAATGAGACACCAAACCATACGGTTATGACAACACAACCAACGGTGATACTCCAGAAGAGCACGTCTTCAATCCCGCTAGCATGCACAGGTGAAACTATATTATCAGCATGCAGCACGTATGATAAGGTGTGGATAACTCCCTTGCCTCAGCAAGCCGTGAATCAGTTTCAATGACTACCAGTAAAAATCGCCCGAAAGGCTTAATCTAATCTTGGCCTGAACTTGACCTCTTTCTCTATCGTTATCCCAAAGGGATCTATCTATAGCGTGTGCACATTTCTAATCGTGAGTCTTACTTGAGTGGATGAGGTTAAGGGGCATTCGGATGCTTCCTACCGAATCTTGACTAGCTGTATGCTTCTTATGGGTTCCAGTTTTGGAACTATGCTAAAATTTCAACTCGTCCAACCAGGTAGTTATCTACACAATGATAGCCGATGGCTGTGGAAGAGAACGCCAACCAACAGCTAGTTCTATGCGGTCTGGGCCGAACTAAGCAATGAGCGTGTACCAGGGCAGCATGAAGATAGAGAGAGAGCGACGCGTCAGCGGTTTTCACACCTCTCGAAACAGAGGAGAGCACGTAATAGACACATAAAGGAATGGAGAGAAGAGATCGACGATGGGTGCGATTGAAGCACAATCAAGCAATGGAAGTATTTGAGATACTGCAAACCACATTTCATGACAAATCATGCGCAATCGGGTAAATTTTGAAAAATCTTATGAGAAACCGTTCTCAGTTTAAAGATTGTTCTCAGAGATCGACTCACTGAAGTGAAGATATTCATGAACACTTTACCTAACGGACTTTGCCTAACGGCAATTTTGCCTAATGGGCGTGCTCGTATCGGTGCGAGATTGTTAGACGCACCCGTTCAGAGCATGTTGGGAATGTTCTGAACTGGTGCGTTTATCAATAAATGACTTATTTATAAACTCCTCTATTCTTGTGGGAAATGTGTTATGTATGAATGCAAACATAGTTCGTTGAAGGAGACTGCTGAAGCAAGCTGTCCATCAGCGGTGATAAAGCCCATTGTTTGCTCTTCGTAACTTCATTGGTCAAAATTTGACTTTGATTGAAGTCATCAAAATCACTAACGTTTATATGTACAGGTGTTCTAACAATAGCCGCGCGATGGAAATTCCCAACATGTTCTGAACGGATGCGTCTAACAATCTCGCCCGCCCATTAGGCAAAATCACATTAGGCAAAATTGCCATTAGGCAAACTCCATTAGGCAAAATTGCCATTAGGCAAACTGTGCTTAGTCAAAACGTCTTTAGGCAAATTGTCCAGGTACCACTTATAATACAGTTTAATGTTATTATAATGCTGTAATACATAATCCATTGAGTTTAACAAATAAACTGGAGACATATTCAGTTTCCATAATTTGTCATGATATTGCGGTTTTCTGAGCTCGTGTTTCAATCCGGCAGGTGATAAAAGGTTAGACAAATGACTGTTGATTCTAGATATTGAACTGTTTCGGAAAAATAATTCCACGGGGTTGGATGATCAAGTATGAGTTGATCGAGGATGTTATTTTCATCAAAACTATGCAGCATGAGCGACTTGTTGCAGGTTATCACGTTATCAAAGAAAATAGATGGACAGTGTGTAACAAATCGCTCATATTGTAAAGTTTTGATGAAAATAACATCCTCAATCAACTCATAATTGATTATCCAATCTCCGGTCCTGCTTAACTACGGTAACGGGAGTATGTGTATGATTATTAACGTCGATTGGAAGCATTCAACTAGATACA